CATACCACCGCCCCACCACCGTTTCCTTCCAACACTCCCCGTTGCACCCAAGCCACTAGGTGTTCATACCAACACGCTCACGGCATGCACGGAATGAATCCTTAGGGAGTGGTTTAGTGAGGAAATCCGCGGGTTGCGCCTTGGTGCTTATGTATGTGACCTTGACCTCACCTCTCTCGACCACCTCACGAATGAAGTGATGCTTCACCTCAATGTGCTTGGTACGCCCGTGAAGGACGGCATTGTGAGTGAGGTTTATGGCCGCTTGGTTGTCACAAAAGAGAGGAGTTGGGTCGGCTTGAGGATGCCCAAGCTCCGCTAGAAGGCGCCGTAGCCATATTGCCTCCATGGCTCCTTGAGTGAGTGCCATATACTCCGCTTCCGTTGTGCTTAGAGCCACGGTTGGTTGCAACTTGCTTTGCCAACTCACGGCTCCCCCAAGCAAGGTGAAGACGTACCCGCCGGTACTCTTGCGCTTGCTTTGATCACCGGCATAATCCGAGTCGGTGTAGCCCTTAAGCACGATTGGACCGGCTTCATATACGATTCCCAAGTTGGGTGTGCCTTGGAGGTAGCGTAGAACACGTCCTCCCGCACGCACATGCTCGGTATGAGGGTTGCTTACGGCTCGTCCAAGTACCCCGGCGGCGTATGAGAGGTCGGGACGGGTGGAAACGGCGGCATACATGAGTGAGCCGACTAGCGAATGAAACCGCTTCCCTTCGGCTTCGTCGAGGGCGGATTCTTCCTCTCCCGGGAGGCAAGAAAATCCCGTGTCTAGTGGCGTCCCCACCGGGTTGCTATTACCCATGCCGAAGCGCTCCACAACCCCTTTCACATATTTTTCTTGGTGGAGGTGAATGGTCCCGTTCGCGCGGTCGCGGTCGACGTGCATCCCGAGGTAGTACGTCACCGGTCCCAAGTCCCTCATGGCAAACTCCGCCCCTAGCCGTTGCTTGACCTCTCGAATGAGGTCTTTGGAGTCGGAGAAAAGAAGGAGGTCATCGACGTAGAGCAAAAGCACCAATTGCTTCTCCCCCTCCTTCAACACGTACAAAGCGCTATCACATACGCTACGCGCGAAGCCGTGTTGAAGAAGAAAGTCGTCGATGCGCTTGTACCATCCGCGTGGGCTTTGCTTCAAGCCATAGAGGGTACGCTTGAGCTTCCACACCCGACCGCTACCGTCATCGTACCCCGGGGGTTGCCGCATGTAGACTTCTTCCATGAGAAGCCCGTAGAGGAAGGCGGTGCAAACGTCTCATTGTTCCACCTCGAGGTTGAGAGATGCCGCTAGCGCGAGCAACACCCGAAGAGTGGAGGCCTTCGAAACGGGAGCGAAGGTCTCACTATAGTGCTCCCCCTCCCGTTGAGTGTACCCTTGCGCCACAAGCCGCGCCTTGTAGCGTTCGACACCTCCATCGGCTCCCAATTTCTTCCTAAGCACCCACTTGCATCCCACCAAGTAGGCACCCTTCGGCGGGTCGACGAGCTCGAAAACATTGTTCTCCTTGATCGATGCTAACTCCATCTCCATCGCTTGCTTCCATAGCGGTGCATCCGGGGAAGCCAAAGCCTCCTTGTGAGTGCGTGGGTTATCGTCGCCGATGGTCGCTAGGCAAATCGCCGCACTCTCCTCATCCGACTCCCCAACGGCGACCGTAGCATAGTCGGTTAACCTCGTGTTGGGGCGAGGTGTACGACGCCCGCGAGTCAACGCCAATGGTAGGGAAGAAGGTGCGGAGGAAGTGGCCTCCTCGGTTGGTGGCACCTCCTCGACATCATCATCGCACTCCTCGTTCTCTCCCCCTCCACTTTCGGCTCCCTTCTTCACGTGCGGTGAAACCTCCACCGCTTCATCCTCCTCTCGTGCGGGAAGGACGACGGTGAGTTGCGGCGTTTGTTTCTCCTTTGTCGGGAACTTGTCTTCGTCGAAGATCACATCCCGAGACGTGACGACGCGTTTTTCATCCAAATCCCACACTCGCCATGCACGCTCGTTCGCCGCAATCCCCAAGTAGATCGCCGCACGAGCTTTCGGTTGCAACTTGTGGCGAAGTGGATCCGGTACATGGTAGTAGCAAAGGCACCCAAAGGTGCGTAGGCGGTATAGGTTCGGCTTCGTTCCGGTCCATGCTTCGAACGGAGTCGTTCCCGGTAGCACCTTTGTTGGCACACGATTACGAATCCATGCCGCTAGCGCACTCGCCTCTCCCCACCACTCGTTCCCAAGCTTGGAGTGTTGAAGAAGTGAACGAACGGCCTCCATCAATGTGCGATTGAGCCGCTCTACCGCTCCATTTTGTTGGGGTGTGTAGGGTGTCGTGACGTCGTGCTTAATGCCCTTGCTTTTCATCCATTTTTCAAGCTCGTTGCTCACGAATTCGCCGCCACCGTCGGTGCGAATGCACTTGATCCGCTTCTTGCCGTCGTCGCAAACGTCGAGCGCCCACTCTTGAATCGCCTTGGCCGCATCTCCCTTAGCCTTCAAGAGTCGGGTCCAACTCATCCGCGTCGCATCGTCGAGCATCACTAAGAGGAACCGCGCTCCTCCCTTTGATGCATGCCGCATCGGTCCACACACGTCCATGTGAACAAGCGCAAGCGGGTCCTTTGCGAGGGGTGAGGTACGGCTACCAAATGGCTTGCGAGCCATTTTTCCTTCGACACACACCGCGCACACGCCCTTCTCGTCGTTGCCGGCGATCACGTCAAATCCCTTCGCAAGTCCTTTGTTGGCCAACTCTTTGACCGAGTCGTAGTTGGCGTGCGCAAGCCGATTATGCCACATTTTGAGAGTCGCCTTGGAGCCTTGCGCCACGTTGGATGAGGCCGTTGTCGGATGCGTCTTCAGTTGGTAGAGTTGTCCGTTGAGAACGCCTTGCACGAATTGCTTCCCCTTCCAAAAGAGGTTCATCTTCGCGCCATCGATGGTGACCTTCACGTCTTTCTTTGCGAGTTGAGTGACGGAGAGTAGATTCACCTTCAATCCCGGGACGTGAAGCACGTTCGTGATGTCCACCGGCCCGCCATCGACGATGAGACGCGTACTCCCAACTCCAACCACCGGTAGCGATTTATCGTTCCCGAAGACGACGCGCTTTACGTCTCCCGGAGCACCGACGTTGTTGAGGAGCGACGCCGAGTGCGTCATGTGTTGTGTTGCACCGGTGTCGAGGAACCACGCGTCGTTTGAAGTGTTGATCCCGTCACCGGCCAACAAAACGAGCGACTCCGTTGAATCATCCGCCTCGCCGGATGCCGTGTGCGCGTTGCCCTCTTGGTTCCGCGCCTTCGATGGAATCCAATCGCTCGGCCGCTTCCGACATTCACGCCAAAAGTGCCCCGCTTTGCGACAATAATGACACTTGCTCGAACCGTTCGATGCGTTGCCCTTGCCGCGACCGTTTCCACCGGACGACTTCTTTGCCTCACCGTTGCTCCACTTGGACTTCTTTCCGGAGCTCCCTCCGGAGAACATGGCGGTCTCCACGCTCTCGTTAGCGAATTGTCGGCGTCGCGATTCTTCATGGAGAAGCCGACCGACCACCATTTCCTTCGTCCAAGTGTTTTGCACGCTATCGAGTGTCGTAATCACCGTCGACCACTCTTCCGGAAGGCCGCAAAGCAAGGTGAGAATCCAATCCTCCTCCGTGACCGTTCCACCGAGGTCCATGAACGTTTCCCCGAGTTCCTCCACACGAGTCGCATACTCGTGCATCGATTCGCCCGCGCGTAACTTCACCGTGTAGAACGCATTTCGGGCTAGGATCTTGCCGTGGAGAGTCTTATTCACGTGCATCGTCTCGAGCCGCTTCCATGCTTCACGCGCCGAAGCTTCGAGCTTGATGCACGTGCGCACCGAACTCACGAGGTTGATGCCGATGCGCGAAATCAACGTTGCGAACGCCTTTTGGTCCTTCTTCTTCCATGCCGCGATCTCGTCCTCGTTGACCGGCTTTTTCTCCGTTCCGTCGAAGAGACCCCAAAGTCCCCGCTCCATCATGAGCACTTGGAACTTAAATTTCCACGCGGAGTAGTTTTGCCCCGTGAAAATCGGAACCGCCGACGTGTCGAACACCGTCGCGTTTGTCCAGGGTTCGCCGGGATTCGAGACAACACCACCTAAGGAAGTGCCGGAGGTTTCGCTTGACGTCATCATGCTTGCTACAAGTCGCGCACGTAGACTCTACCGACCAGCTCTGATACCACTGTTGTAGAGGCGTATCCTCTACTTTGCAGGAACTCTAAGTTGCACTAAACGATAGAGCACAGTCTTGGCTTTCCAACAAGCCGTCAAACACGTTAATCGCCCAAGTATACGCCGAGATATTGGCGTTCACGTGATTGCTAGTGCTCTTAGAAGCAAGGATAGACCTCTCTGGAATTTTGGTTCGAATGGACCATGTACAAGAAGATTCAGGATTTCAGTATAAAGCATGCATACAAGGCAGGTCGATTTATAGCAAATGCATTACATCGAACCGCACATGTAACATCACATCGCTACACTCGCGTCGCGAATGCGCCGCGTGTAACATTTCGGTTGGGGTGAAATTCGACCACCGAATTTCACACCGAACACACCGAATTCGCCTTGCACTTGAAGGTTGGAATGTGGTGCCGCCACGTGGCACCGAAGGGTGAGTCTCCCGGAGTCAATCGGTGCCACCCCACCGATCCCTAGTCAAAGGGATCGAAGGCACCGAAGTGCCCTCGGTGGGTTGGGGGCATACCACCGCCCCACCACCGTTTCCTTCCAACAGTTCTGAAGTACCTTCATGCGAACCCGAGATTAACCTGGGAGACGGAGTGGTTACCAGTTCGGCGAGAAGATTACTTTCGCCCTGGTGAAAAATATTACTTTGTAACCGGGCAGCGCGATTTTTGTGCGGGGATTCGCCACTTCCATCGCAGCCTGTCGTGCAAGATCGCAGAAGCGGCTTTTCTGAATCGCACGCTCGTACTCGATATGGGGTTGTGCATAAACGGAATGCACAATGGCAGGACTGCGAGTGTTCACGGTCTGCATTACTACTACGATCTGCCCTCCCTCAGGTAAGACCGTCCCTCAAGTAACACCTCTCCAGCGTCCCCAACCCCCTCTCTACTCGTTCCGCAACCCCCCCACCCCCCTCTAGTCCCTCCAGACTCAACCCCCTGCACTGCTCCCTGCAAGCCTGCACGGGTTACTCATTAACTCACTTTTCTATTCCCCTCTCTTTCTCGCAGGGCCGCCAGGTTTACCCCCTTGAATGGGTTCCTGCAAGGCATGAGGGAGTGGCGGCGCAAGCAGGGGCAGAGGGGAGAGGAGGCAACTGGAAGGCGGTTGAGGGGTGTATCTGCAGGGGAGGGTGTATCTCAAGGGGATGGTGTATCTGCGGGGGAGGGTGTATCTGCGGGGGAGGATGTATCTGCGGGGGAGGGTGTATCTGCGGGGGAGAGTGTATCTGCGGGGGAGAGTGTGCCAGTTGCAGCTCTTTTTTCCCGTGTGGTTCAAGCAGACACAAGGACTAGGGTAATTTCCCAACCAACTACTTTTAAGAATACTCCATGGCAGGGAGGCAGGCAGGGGTATCTGTCTGTCATAATCTGCGATGTTTTTATTCAAGCTCCCACTCATGCGCCATTGCTCTAACTCCCCCACTTTCCCCTCCCTTCTAATCCCCCTCTGTCCCCTCTCCCTCCACCTCTTCGCCCTAGGAGCAGGCCATAGCACAGGACAGCAGCACCCCGCTCATCATTCCATGTAGCGCAAGCACCCTCAATAGCCACCTCTCCCCAACTCTCCCCGCCCCCAATCCCCTCCCTCCCTACATCTGCAGGCCATAGCCCAGGACAGCAGCACCACGCTCATCATAAGAGACGGGCATTACGGCTTTGAACCATGCCGGGGCGAGCTCTCGCACTGGCCCAACCTGGTGAGCGCTTTGAAACGTGTTTTGCAACGTGTTTTGAGTTGACTCACAAGGCAGCTTGCTTCAATGTCGCACGCCACTTCAGCTTTGAACCGTGCTGGGACGAGCTCTCTCACTGGCCCATCAAGGTGAGCCCCCTCTGCCTTCTCCTTGAGTGTGCAAGGAGGAGAGGAGCATGAACACGCTGCTCTCAATCCTGCCCTTGTTCTGGATTGAGTGGCAATCATCTTTCAATCCTGCCCTTGTTCTGGATTGAGTGGCAATCATCTTTCAATCCTGCCCTTGTTCTGGATTGAGTGGCAATCATCTTTCAATCCTGCCCTTGTTCTGGATTGAGTGGCAATCATCTTTCAATCCTGCCCTTGTTCTGGATTGAGTGGCAATCATCTTTCAATCCTGCCCTTGTTCTGGATTGAGTGGCAATCATCTTTCAATCCTGCCCTTGTTCTGGATTGAGTGGCAATCATCTTTCAATCCTGCCCTTGTTCTGGATTGAGTGGCAATCATCTTTCAATCCTGCCCTTGTTCTGGATTGAGTGGCAATCATCTTTCAATCCTGCCCTTGTTCTTGCCCCACCCACTGGTCCGGTCCATCCATAACAGCGGTTCGACTACATAGCATCGAACGAGTTTGCCATTCTCTTCCGTCGAACGAGTCTTGCATTGAACTGAGGGGGTTGGCAGGCAGCATGTCTCAACCCAACCATTTCTCTCTCTTATGTGTTCCTTGCAAAAGTTCAAGAATTCAACTTACTGCTTGCCCCAACCCCAACCTCATCCCACCCATCCCACCCACCCACCCGTATAACCCTGACAGAGGTTCGACTACATCATCTCAAACAAATCCGGCATTCTCTTCCACCCAACACGACTGTTGAAGCGCCTCAATACTACCATCTTGCCCACCCACCCACCCACCCGTCCATCCCTGACAGAGGTTCGACTACATCATCTCAAACGAGTCCGCCATTCTCTTTCGTTCGGAGCTCAGGGGCCTGGCAGCCAACATGTCGCAATCCATGAATGCGGGGGACTATGACGCCGTGAGAGTGAGGAGGGGAGACAAGCTCAACACCGATGTGTGGCCGCACGTGGAAAACGACACGAGCCCCCCCGCGTAAGTCAATAAAGCTGTGAATATTAGAAGTCAGTGCTCTTGGTGAGCAAATTCAATATATTCTTGGGCTGCAAAATCAAAGTTTTCTTCTAAATAACGTTCTGTTATCTGACTTTTTCTTCCGCGTCCTTGCGATGTTACAGTCTACTGGAGAAGCTCCCCCGGTTCGTTGCACCTGGACGCACGCTGTACATCGCGACGAATGAGAAAACGCCCGGGTTCTTCGACCCGCTGAAGGCAATCTTTGCGGTTCGGCAATTTCGGGACTTTGACCACCTCTGGGCGCCTGGCACGCCTTGGTTCGATGGATACGCGCGCATCCTGGGTGCGAGTCCCAAGCTCGACCCATACATGGAGGTACAGTGCACCCTAGGCCCTTGCCATTGTAACGAGGTGACTTTTGAGTCGACTCCAAAGTCACCTCGACCCCTACATGGAGGTACAGTACACCCTAGGCCATTTTTTTACTTCACACATGATGACACACAATGTTCGTTACTAGTGTGTGTCTGTGCACACGTGTGCATGTGTGTGCATGCCTGTGTGCATGTGTGTGTGTGTGTGTGTGTGTTTGCGTGTGTGTGTGAGTGTGCATGCGTGTGTGTGTCTGTGTGTGAATGTGTGTGTGCATGCGCGCGCGTGTGTGTGTGGGTGTGTGTGTGCTTGGGTGTGCTTGTGTGTGTGTGTGTGTGTGTGTGTGTGTGTGTGCATTTGTTTGTGTCTGTGGTTGTGTGGGTGGGTGGGTGGGTGGGTGGGGGTGCGAGTGCGTATCCTCGTGCGTCTAACCTGCATGCTTAATTGCCTCACCCTGTGCTACTCAACGGGCCCGACCCGTTGAAACTTAAAAGTATCAAATACAAGATTTTGTTTCCCGTGCTTATGTGTGTGTGTCCTGGTATGCGTGACCCGCAATCTTATACTTTCCTGTCTGGCATTGTGCCCACAGGCCATTGTGGAGTACAAGGTTCTGTTTGCCACTGCGCGTGTATGCTATGCGCGTGTGTATCCATGTGTCCTCCCATGTCTTTGTGTGTCTCACCGCCTCCTTTTCTTCTTTTATCCCTTGTGTGGTGCTACAGGCCATTGTGGAGTACAAGGTTCTGTTTGCCGCGAAAGCAAAAGTTTTCACGTTCAACAACCTGACGAGCGATGCCGAGGGTGGAATAAGGCCTTCAGCCATGAAAAGGCACTGACTGAGACCGTGCAACAGAGGCATGCCATGATGCCATGAAAAAAGGTATTGACTGAGGTCGTTGAAAGGCATTCAGTGACCTTAAGGACAACAGCTGTATTGTCCTAGAGCATTACTACTGCCTCTTGTATAGTGTTCCATGCTTCTCATATAATAATGCATGCTCTATCTTGCATGCCATGGGCCATACTGGGCCTGGTGGATTTCTTTGCTGGCAATTTGGTGCCATACTGAGTGACCATGTGTGGAACGATGCATAGGACGCTGCTGTTTTGAGCCAGGCCATATTTATTACATTCAGAACAGGTTGCCTCCGATAGTATAAAACAATTTTAGCAGGTCTGCACTGTACCTTACATGCTTCTACTCCAATTGTTTGTCTCACTACAGAATGCCAATTCACCAGCACAATCAGCTGCAACCCTTGTGTGGATTCTTGTTCCATCCATCCACGAGCGAGCCGCTGGTTCGCTTTTGTCATCCGCAAACTCGATAGAGCGTCAGCTTACAGGGGCGCCATGATTGATTGTCTATATTCCGCGAACACAGGAGTTGCGCGGCCGCAGTCAAGGGAATGCTGTTCCGCCGCTCCGCAGTCAGGGGAGGGCATCCTTCATTGAGCACAGCACAGTAACCTCGCCTCGCTCGCTCTTCCTCTCCCCAACCCCATCATTTTCCGTACATACGACGCCTGCCGGCCCGTTCTCTGGCACCGCTCGCGACTCGACTTCTGCTAAATGGCTTGGTTCGAAAATCTGTTTCGTAGTCTGCATGCGGACGACGAACACCCCGAGATGGTGTGCCCCAGGGCTGTCGATTCAAGGGCATTTGCCTGGTGTGCCCTGCCCTGCCCCCAACCGCACTTGACCCAAGCGCCTTCAGACCCGAACCTAGCCATTCTGTTCCGAATACAGCAGCCCCTCAGGGAGGAGAGGCTCTCCTCCCTCAGTACATCAAAATCTTGATTCCGGTTCAGTCAGCAGCAGCTCGAAGTTAGTCGCACCTCATCGACGAACCAGAATCAAGCATATAAGCTCCTTCTTCTATGTCTGTCCGGGGCGCGCGTCTCAATCAAGCCATCCCTCTCGCTCGACATTGACAATCTTTATGTAATCAATCGCGAGACGTAAGTAGGAGGATTTTAGTCCACTAGAGAAAGTCACCACGGCGTGTAAGTAGCAGGAGCAGGAGCATGGAAAGGGCTATTCTAATGCCTCCGGCAAGGTCCGAGGACGAGATTGAGTGTCCAGTCCTTCCGCATCATGCAGTGCCGAACGAAGGAGGCGCCGCCGCGCTCGACAGCCAGACGGGGAGTGCCCCCGCGAGAAACGGCGCAATATTCGGCGATGATCTCGGCGCGATGTGCGGGGCCTGCCCGCATTCATCTACCGCCCTACGAGCCCGAAATGAGCTAGACGGCAATGGCGACGCCGCCGAAGGCGATGGTGATGGCGGTGGCGGTGGCGGCGGCAGTGACGGCGGCAGTGGCGGTGGCGGTGGCAGTGGCAGTGGCGGTGTTGGCGACGGTAAATGTCCTTCAAATTCTTTTCTCGGGTACTTTAGTGACACGTGGAAGCTCGCTGACGTGGCAATAAGCTTGAAAAAAGGTCATTCTGATTGGAGGGGGCGTTTACTACTCCACGGGCTGTTCTGGGCCGTCCCGCTGCTGCTCATCGTGCTGGTGCCGCAATTCGCGGCGCTAACGAGCGGTCCGAGAGACCTCACGCGGCTCGTTGACTTCCCGCGAGGTGTAAGAGCGGGAGGCGAGGGGGATGTGATGCCGGATATTGAGAGGGAGAGCGGGGCGGTAACGGAACCTGCTGCGGCAGCGGCGCGGGATGTGGCGGAAGCGGAGTATAAGAATGCTGAAGGGGCCTTGGGGAAGCAAGAGGGGCTTGCGGCAAGCGGTATCGCAGCGGAAGGGGGCGCGGGGGATATGGCGGAAGAGGGGGACGCGGATGTTCAAGCGGGGGAGGATGCGGGAGTAGCGGAGAGCGAGGACGCGGGGATTGCGGAGAATGCGGAGGCGGGGAACGCGGAGAATGCCGAGGCGGGGAATGCGGAGGCGGGGAATGCGGAGAACGAGGGTAAGAGTGAGGAGGTGGACGAGAATGGCGGGGGACAGAGCGAAGGGCGAGGGAATCCGGAAAATGGGTCGGAGAGAGACGAATCTGACAAAGGGTCGGAGGGAGACAAATCGGGACCTGAAAGGGAATCTTCCGCTGTTGTTGAACCGGGGGAGACGTCTTCTCGCGAAATTAGCGAATCCAACCAAGCGACTGGTAACCACGAGCGTGCGAACGACGCGAGCCCGCCAAACGAACGCGCGGCGAACCGCTCGAGTTCAGATTCTGAAACGCAGGGAGCAGGCGACGCGGACGAGTTACTTGCGGAACTGGAGCAGCGAACTCTGGGTGACGTGGAGCCTCTTGATTCGCCGAGGGTTCTGGAGTACCTTCGTATCAATCCGCGATTAACGTGGGAGACGGAGTGGTTACCAGTTCGGCGAGAAGATTACTTTCGCCCGGGCGAAAAATACTACTTTGTTACTGGGCAACGCGATTTCTGTGCGGGGATTCGCCACTTCCATCGCAGCATGTCGTGC